AGCGGCACAATGGTCGTCATCGGCCATGGCGACCTGTAGATGGCCAGGTGAGCGGTGAACCAACAGCTGCCGGCGCCAGGGAGAAGAAGGCGGCCAACAAGAAGGGCAAGACCGATCTCCAGGAGCTGCATGACCCTGAGCGGTGATTCACCGAACTCCCCTGCGTAAGCTGCCGGGGCGGAGGGTGGTAGACGCGGCCGGGAGGCTGCCGGAGTTGGTCGGGAGGGGAGATGGTGGCGGGCCTTCCGTCGGCCCTCAACCCCGGGGACTGGGGGAGAAACCGGAGTGGGGGGGCCCCTGTGTACACGCTGACACATCACATCTCGCTAGATCTTGTTGTATTGATTTTACAACGGGCTTTGCTACTAGTTATAAATACGTGCATACTTCACAAGTAACTCTGTATGTACACATTTTGTGTTTGGCGATCTATGTCCAAGTACTGCTTTTGCTCTATGGAACTATTCATTTCTGTAAAATTCTGCTGCCTCTAGGCTGTGCACCTTTCATTGTGCGGATAACCTCAGTTTTATCTTTGCTTCTTCGCTTTCTTCTCTCAGCAATTTCTTGTTTGTTCCTATTTTATATTGCTAAAAATCTCATTTTTCTGCCTCTGAACACTCATGCAGTCTTTGATAATTTGTTTTGATAATTATGTTTTGTTTTCTGATCTTCCCTGGTCATCTTTCTTCACCTGTCAGCCTCAGATCAAGTACTGTAATTTGCAACTTACCTGCTTGCCAGTGGCAAGCAGCACTTCAACTAAGACAAGCACCCAAGTGGCAAATTGCTCCAGTCCCATACTGAGCCTTGTCTTCCCTCCCCCCTCTTTTAGAGAGGCTGAGCCACACATGTGCTCAGGGTAGCAAGGGGCTGAGTCTAGAACACATGCTTATGGCCACCCCCACCCTTTCCAAGCCACAAAGGTCCAGCAGCACCACTGGGCAACCACTTTGTTAACTGATTGTCTGCAATAACCTACCTAGTGGCAAGAAGAATTTTATTACAGATCTGCTAACAACTACAAGTCCAGCTTACAATGTGATTATATGTCGACTACAGTATACTTCATAAACAGGTGTCAGCATTCAACATCCATTTCTTGTAATACTTTCCCCCCCTTTAAACTTTTTTCCCCTTGTGCTGCTCAAGTTTTGCTCCAGCTTCTCTCCGAGTTTGGAATGCCCTTTCTAAACATATTCATTGCTTCTATTCTTTTAGGAACTATTCAAAATCATCCCAGCCCTTACATCTTTATTTCCCTTATTTTACTTTTCACCTATTGATACCTTATACAATTCCGCAGGGCCTGTAAGGCAGAGATGTTCTCCCTGGCTTTTAGTTGAGGACAGCAACGGTTAAGACTGGCACCCTCCTTTTCTTTCTATGGCCCCCACATCCCCTTCCTTGCCCTACTGCACGGACAGCACTGTAGCCAGCAAAAGGGCTTTATATCGCTATCTGGATTGGCTGTTTTTAAGGTTGTAAATTGCCCAGAGCCTGCTTGTGTGGTTGTGCAATTTGTAAATTTAATAAATAAATACATGTAAAACTATTTAAATCGCAATCAAATTTACCATCTTAGATTTGAGCTCATTGTTATTTGCATATTCCAAAGGGGCAGCCATATGACTCTGTTGCAGTAAACACAAAAAGGAGTCTTCTAGTGCCTCAAAAAAATTAAACTGACATATGTTATGGCATAAACCTTCATTGACCAGAGCCCACTTTTTCATGAACATTTATGCCATAATACATCCATTACTCTCTAAGATGCAGCAAAACTCCTTTCCAATATTTGCATGTTCCTTTTCCCTACTTCTTCCCTTTTCTGCATTTAGTAATTTTAATAATCTTATTTATTGAAACAGGACCATTCACATAGATATATCTAACTGTTTCAGAGGGTTTCCCCTGTAATTTTAGGTTATATGGCTAGTGCTTCCTACTTGATTATGGCATTGTTTAATTGCTATGAGCTGTTTTATTGTAATGAAAACTGCCTTGGGCACATATATGCATCAAGGTGTTGCCCAAACATTCCACATAAATAAACAAATTTTACAAAATAATGTAAGCAAAAGAGATGGTCCTTGCCCCAAGGAATTTGCAACCAAATTTTCAATAATGGAAGAGTAGACAACAAACATTGGGAAAGAATGAGAAAGGTAAGGGAAGTAAGGGACGAAGATGAGTAAATCTAGTTTCACAAGCGTCAGCTTCATTTTAGTTGTGGAAGAGGACTAGTGGATTTGTAGGAGGAATGTGAAGGAAAAGTGGCATAACAATGATAGCTGAAAAATGAAATTGACAGAGAAAAGCTTACATATTTGGAGTACCAGATATAAATATTTGAATAAATAGCAACTATGGTCAAACTGAAGCATCAAGCATGGATTTTGTATTTTTACATGTACCGTAAACACTTGTTTGAATTCAGATCACAATATCCCTAGTGTGTCTCCTTCAAAACAACATGCACACAGTCATATTCAGTATTAGATGGGTCTAGAAAATCTCAGTCTCCCAGTTCTGCACTTACAGTCACACCACCCATGCAGAGAACCATGTCATACTTTACATTTTGTAAAATGTACCTGTAAAACGTTTCAGAACCATGCACACAAATACAATACAACAAAAACACATTAGTAAACAGTGGCATAAGACTCCCTGCTAGGTGGAAAGTCAGTGGCCAAACTGTTGGAGGAGGCCTTACAGCTGGGGGGAGGGGGAATTTCCACTTTTTACCATTATGTAGGCATCCCTGAGTACAGGATGACTAAAGGCGATTTCATCAGTGATTTCCAACAGATTTGCAGCCACAAACTTGGGTTTGCTTCCTCCTCTGCCATTGCATAAGAGACTGGTTTATGTTGCTCAACAGAAATATGGAGCACCTTTTTGACAACATACATGTTCAACACACATTTTTTTAAGGATTATGCTGGATTTGAAAAAACTTCTCCTCAGGGTATGCAATAAGAAATACAAATAACCCTTAAAATTTCAGATTATGAGCAGAGGTAGATCCTTTGATCTCACCAGGGCTGTTTTGGTTCCTTCTGTAAAACAAGTGAAGACTGCCACAGCCTGCGCAAAAGCATCCCCTCGGCAGCTCCATCCCTTTGGAACGGGCTGCCAAATGATGTGAGAGCTGTGCTTTTTGTTTGTTATGCAGAAAATTTAAATGGCACCTACCCAGAAACCTGCTTGAGGCAGTTCAGAAAGGAAAATAAAGGAGAGCTGGGATGATGTAGAGGTAAAAACGTCAGACTAGTATCTGGGAGACCCAGGGTTTAATCCCCACTCTGGAAGAGTGCTAGGTTGCCTCACCTACTTTACAGAGTTGTTGTGAGGATAAAACAGAGGAAAGGAGAACGATGCTTGGGGTGCCCGCTGGGTAAAGGCGTGGATATAAATAAACTAAATAAAACAAAATAATGTATAAAAGACTCCGCAAAGAAATTAGCCATTAAAACAGCATTAAAAGAATAAAAGGCCCACTAAAGAAAGAAGCATTTCATTTACAAAGGAGTAAGTAGGAGGGTGAAGCCTTCAGACCAACAGTGTGATTTTAAGCAGTTACACTTTTCTAAACTCACTGAAGAAAATCGTTTCAGAGGGTAGCTGTGTTCATTTGCCGCAAAACAGCTAAATTCAAGTGTCAGTAGCAGTTTAGAGACCAAGATTTTGGGGATATAAATTTTGCAGAGTCCCTTCTCATGAAGGGAGCTCTGACTCTCAAAAGCTTATACCCCCAAAATCTTGCTGGTCTCTAAGCTGCTACTAAACTCTATTCTAATTGACACAAATAGGCTTCGCATGGTGTATCTCTGCTTAGAATGGCACTGCAAGTCATTTGGCTGCACACTGGTTTTATTCCGATGCTTTTAGTATTCAGGTGAGGTTCTAATTATTTATTGTATTTCAAATTTTTATGTTTGAGCTTTCATTGTTTATTTCGATCTGTATGTGCTGCCTTCTCCAGAAAGCAGTTCACACAATAACATCATAAGCATAATGCCAAATGGATACCCATTCCAGTCCACTGCTGCAAATTAAAACAGCAGTCCAATGGCTCATTAAAAGCAAAATTTATTCTAGCATTAATTTTCCTTGTCGTTTACGGTAGCAGCATAAGAATTATCCATGTTTTTAAAAAAGCCATAAAAAACAAACTGGGAGCATAAAAACGCCTACGGAAGAAGTATAGACACATAGGTAAAGGTAAAGGTTCCCTTGCTCGAAAGCCAGTCGAATCCGACTCTAGGGTTGCGGTGCTCATCTCCGTTTCAAAGCCGAAGAGCCAGCGCTGTCCGAAGACATTTCCGTGGTCATGTGGCCGGCATGACTAAACTCCAAGGCGCACGGAACGCTGTGACCTTCCCACCGAAGTGGTACCTATTTATCTACTTGCAATTTCTTGCTTTCGAACACATACAGATAAAGAAGTATAAAAACATACAAAAACGTCTTAGGAAGTAGAGAAACATACGGTGCCACTAAGAAAAGCCACATTTCGCTTTAAAAAACCGAGAAAGAGAAGGGAATGTGTTTCTGTGTGAAGCCTTCAGGACAAACGACAAGAGGAGGAACGTTATACAGGTGAAGGAGACCCCTGAGAGCAAGCGCTGAAGGGAAGGAGGCGGGTGGCAGTGGGCGAGTCCAGCGCGGCCGGACGCAGTCTGGTGCTTGTGCAACAGGGGCCAGGACGAAGGTCCGAGCGCCGCACTGAGGCAAGGAGCGCGCCAGAGGCTCGCCTCGCGCCAAGCCCCGACCGCCTCCAAGTGCGCCACTGGCTCGCGCCCTTCCAAGCCCGCGCGTGCCCTCCTCCTCCTCCTTCAGCTACTTCTCCTGAGCGCCGCGTCTCCCTCCAGGAGCTCGCCCTACCCTGCCTTCCCCCCCCCTCCTCTCTCCCCATTCGCGCTCGTTGATTCGGTCGCGTCCGCTTCGCCTCGCGCCCTGATTGAGTCGCTGTCGGTCGCGCCCGCTTTTACCTCAGAGGCTTCGTCTCGGCTTCGCGTGGCACCCGAAGGGGATCGAAAGAGACGGCGCCACCCCTCAGCGCCTCAGGAAAGCGGAGCCACCGAGGCCGTCAGCATTCTCAGCACTAGGATCCGCCAGGGCCAGACTCTCTCTCTCTCTCTCTCGGGGTGGGCGGGTTGCGACAATAGAGTGTGCCGGAGGCCAGGGCTAGAGCGAGAGGCCGCTTCGGACGATAGAGTTCGCAAGTAAGCCTAGAGTAGCCACCCACCCTTGGGGGGCATAGAGGGGCGCGGCCTAGAGCGGATGGGTCGTCGGCCTTTCGGGACGGAGTGAAGAGGATCCGGCATGTCGCAGTGACCTCCGCTGCCGGATCCGGCGGCGGTTTAGTAGGAAGTAAGTTCGAGCGAGCCGAATGGGTCTCACCCAGCGAATAAACATGCATGGGGACGGGTTGCTGCCATGCTTGCTCAGACGTCAGCGTGAGGCCCAGGTTGCTATTGAGGGCGCTGTGTATCAACAGCTTGACAGGGGTGTTGCGTTATGGCTTAAAAACAATCAAGCGAAACAGAGTGTTCAGCGCTTTGAAGAAGACTGAAGCACTCCGCAGCCCGTTACGCGCGCTAAGAAACCTGCATTATGAACACGTATTGAAGTTCCCTTTCCCCCAAGCAACTCAAGGCAAACGCGTATAGTCCTTCCCTTCACTTATTATGGTCACAGCTATCCTAATACTTTAGGCAGAGAAAGTGTGTGAGAGAGTGGCCAATTCAGATCCTTGATCACCCAGTGATTTTCAAAGCTGAGCATTGGGTTCTTTGGCCCACTGCACATAATTCATTACACTGTAGGCGTGCTGTAGGAAATACGACATCTAGTAGTAGAGTTGTGTTGGTCCTACATAGATGCTACTGTTATTTCATTGTCATTAAGTTTATAGTAAATGACTTCAGGCACCCTACCTTTCAAAAGCCAGCTACAAATACCTAGAATAAAAAATGTGTGTTATGTGCCATCAAGTTGCTTCTGACTTACAACAGCCCTATGAACAAGAGCTTCTGCCTTACAACAGCCCTGTGAACAAGACACCCTATCATTAACAGTCTTGATCAAAGGAATGAAGGGCAGGAAACCCACCTTTACAGCAATTGCATTGTATTTCCCTAATAGAAGACAATCATCATCAGGGGTCTTTTGGGGCCCGAGTGTGTGGGAGCGCTGCTCCGGGAGCCAAGGAGCTGACAAAATGGCAGCGGCCACAAGCCCCAGCTCCCTGCGCTGTGGCCTGTTGCCATGTTCCCAGGGCCCGCGCCGGAGCACTGTGGCCCCGGGGAGGCCGGAGGAGGCCCGTTGCTGCTTTCCCAGGGCCTGCGCCGGAGCGCTGCGGCCCTGGGGAGGCCTGTCGCTGTCTTTCCAGGGCCCACACCGGAGTGCTGCGGCCCCAGGGAGGCCGGAGGAGGCCTGTCGCTCCCTTCCCAGAGCCTGCGCCGGAGTGCTGCGGCCCAAGGGAGGCCCATTGCTGCCTTTCCGAGGCCTGCACCGGAGCGCTGCGGCCCCAGGGAGACCTGAGGAGGCCCGTCGCTGGGTTCCCGGGGCCTGCGCTGGAGCACTGCAGCCCCAGGAAGGCCCATCGCCATTTTCCTTGGGGCCGCGCCGGAGCGCTGCGGCCTCAGGAAGGCTCAAGGAGGCCCCGTTGCCACCTTCCTGGGGCCCGTGCCAGAGTGCTGTGGCCCCAGGAAGGCCTGTCGTGCTTTCCTGGGGCCTGCGCCGGAGTGCTGTGGCCCCGGGGAGGCTGGAGGAGGCCTGTTGCCACCTCCCCGGGCCAGTGCCAGAGCGCTGCAGCCCGAGGGAGAGGCTTTTGAAGATGCGCTCCCCCCCCCTTTTGCTTCCCCTTCTGACATCTCTTCCGGTGATGTCAGGGGGCGTTGCATATGCTAATGAGCTGTTATGCTAATAGCCTAGTAGCATACCGTATGCTAATGAGCTCCTGCAGCTCTTTTTCTATGAAAAGACCCCTGATTATCATAATCCAGATCTAAATCCTAGCAGTATTGGATTAGTATCAAAGATGTTATTTTTAAGTCTTCTACAACCTTGAGCCAATTAATACCACATCCTAAACTAGTTCACAAGGTTGTGGGAAGGGGGGAGGAAGGTGACCTATGTATCCTAACCAGATGTCATTGGATGGAGGGGGAGATAAATACAATCACCCAACATCCTAATAATTCAATAAAAGTCTGAATGCAAATTATATTTCATCCATGCTGTAGTCAGTGTAAGTCACCCATCATGTCACTGAGAAAATATATATCATCAAGGACTAGAGAGAATGCTGCATAAGAAAAAAAAATTGATGGGATACCTAATAGCAGCAAACTGGTCAAGAAATTGCTAAACCACCTACAGAAGCACTCTGTGCCAAAGACCACATCAACTAAGGTGCAGATATCCGCTTTTCAGTGCTGAATAAATATGAAAGAAGACAACTGTGTTGCTGCTCTGCAGATCTTTTCAGTAGGTGCTTGAGAGTCAAAGGCTACTGAAATTACTGCACCTCATTTGGAATGTGCCATGGTGTCCACTGGTGCTTGCTTCCCTGGCAATGAGTGGGCCAGTACAATACAGTCCCTGACCTACCTTAATAACATCTTGGAGGCCCCCAGAACTGATAGGATGAAAAGCTATGAAGACAGAATGATTTTCTAGTGGCAGCCATCCTATGAATGTTGATCTTAAGGATCCTGCAAGGTACTGTAGTCTAAAGTGTGCCACTTCTTTGCCTGAGTATCCTGGGACCATAAGCAAAAAGTAGGGCAAGCTGGACCTGTGAAACAATTTGTTTTGAGCAGGACAGAGGGCTCTGCATGTCTCTGAAAAGCAAATAACCCAGGACGACCAGACAGAGCACTCAGCCTGGAGACTCTGTGGGCTGAAGATACTGCTACCAGGAACAGTACTTTTAGAGTTAAGTCCTGTGTGGGTTCAAAGGGAAAAGCAGTAGGACTGGTAGGGCCTGTGAGGATGCCATGCTGAAAGACTATGCATTGTTACTGGCCATAATAGGAAAGCTCTGAGAAAACGGGTGATGGGTAGGTAGTATTCTGTTCTTGTTGCCCAACATGCTTGTCAAGATACCCACTTCTCTGTGGAAAGTACTTAGTCATAGTCCCTGGTCCACTCTTGTTTTTGTATTACATTGCTACCTGCAGTCTCCACACACATACACACTATAAACAAATTAAGCAAAAAGAAAGTGTCTTGCATGGAATTTAATATTTTCAAATGTGTTTGAACTTACATGCAAATAAAGGTATTATTAACTCATGTAGCTATTTCAAGTTATTTTTAAAGCAATATTTTCATTACGCATTTAACATCCTTCTTTGCCTTCCAAAAATATACGTTGTAATCTGAAACAGCTTATTTACCTGCAGGCTGTTAACATAATGCTTTTTGCTGTGCTGATATAGTAGTTGGTCGGCCCCTAATCTAAGTATTGAGTTGGTTGCTGCAGTAAGTTTTAGGACTGGGAGATAAATTACAATCAGGTAAAATTGTATGACCCTAAACTCTTATTGCCTTTTATCAGAGGAAACAAAGGTTTTTGTTGAGCGTTTAATGCCGTACAGATTTACAGAAATACTCCCAGTCCTGAAGGGATGTATATGTACATTGGGACTAGAAATGTGCTCTGTGGAAAAGCCAGAGTGCTAGTAATATTCCTTCCACAATCCCATTATCAATACTTCAGCACTGGGAAAGTATTGTGGATAGCTGCATAATGGGAACATATTTGTTAATCAGCCCAATCAGACGGTTTCAGAAGGGAGAGGCAAGTACCTTCAATTTAGGTACAGTTTTTAGCTTCATAGCTTGAACCCTCATAACTGAGGTACATCAGGTAGTTAAGAGCTAACCAGCAGGTTCTGTTAGCAGTCTCTTCATTCTATCAGGTACCTATGACAGTAGTACAAACCCATGTCAGTGCTCGCCCGTGTGTTTGAATGGCCTTTCAAAAGAGATCCACAAAACCTTGTTTTATGTGTCTTTGCAAGGATTGCAGAATTTGTATTTCAGTAGGCATTTGGTTGAGGACTTGATGGTTTGGGCTTATTTTGTTGAAATATTTTAATTCACATTTCCATTATATGTTGTCATTATATTGATTGATTTTATAGATTTTTGTAATCTGCCCTGAATGAAATTTTAAGCACGTGAAACCTTAGTCAGAGGAGACTATTTACTGAGCTCTGTTGAACTCTGATTTTGCAAGTAAGCAAGGACTGAGCCCACCACCCCACACCATGAAACAATCTGGATTTCCATTGCTGTACACAATGCACCACACAGCCTCATTTCCAGTACACAGATTGCAGTCAGTAACAACAGTGATAACAATCAGAGGCTGTGCTTTCAAATCTTCAGCCTAAGCATACACAGGAAGAAAACGTAGGGCCCTTTAGTTGCATATATATTTTACATTTTCTGTTGCTCAGCTGCTTTTACTACATGCCCTTATATATCTTGACCACAGTTGAGGAGTATTCTGGTTGAAATTATTTCTATTTAGATTTTCTGCTTTGATATAGTTTATTTAAAATATTTACATCCTGCCTTCCCATTTAGTAAATATTGAATGTGTCTTATATGAGAGAGCGATTACAAAATAAAAACACAGCATCACTAAAACCAACAGAGTGTGTGTGTGTGTGTGTGTGCCCACACACACAAATACCATTAGTAAGCAGAAGCAGTGCAGGAAACGTATCACTCCATTCCATTTCATGGAACAAATGTGTTTTGTCAAGATTTTGGGTGGCCAAAATGGAGGCAGGTACCTGGAGACTACAGCAGCAAAGACCCCGAAAAACCTCACTTCTGATAAGAGAAGCGAATCACCACTGGGTGATCTCAGATCCTTGGCCAGCTCATATGAGTGCACCTCTTCTTTCAGATATCTTGGTCGTAAGCTGTTTAGTGCTTTAAGACCAAAATCAGCACTTGGGAATTGGGCCAAATAGGAGGTGAGCACAACTGACATAACGCTGCGTTCATATGTTCAAGGCATGGCCTAGTTAGGACCCTAGCTGCTGCACATTTCACTAAACTTCCAGATATTTTTTTGAAACACATCCTCTGGTACAGCATGTTACATAGTCCAATCCTAGTGTTCATATACTTGTGTAGTTTGGCAGATCTGCTACCTGGGAACGAATTTACAGCTGATAAACTCTACCTAAGCTGTAAAGTAAAGGTAAAGGTTCCCTTGCTCGAAAGCCAGTCGAATCCGACTCTAGGGTTGCGGTGCTCATCTCCGTTTCAAAGCCGAAGAGCCAGCGCTGTCCGAAGACGTTTCCGTGGTCA